GCAAGGTTACTTATCTTGTGTGCCACAAGTTACTTATATTTGGGATAAATTTATGCTTTGAAAACCACAGGGGGTAAGTTGCATTTATACTTTACTAGGCATATGTTTTGACTGATTTCTCCACTATGTTTGAAACATTGCTGTGTTCATTGCTTTTATTTAAGCAGTCAATTTGCTATGTTATTGTTCGGTGACTGGTTGATAAGGATGAGTTTTTGGAGAGGAAGACAGCTTTCTGTTATTGTCCGCTCGGTTTTACGGAAGTGTCATGCCCCTCTAAACAGGAGATCTGGCGGACATTCAGATTTCAGCAAGGAGCAGCAAGGAAATTTCACTGCTATGACATTCCGGGAGGAGGTGAAATAAAAAACTTGATGAAAGCTGAGGTTCTGCGTCCAGTTATATGACAGCTGGGCTGCTGCCAGTCTAAGAGCCGTTTAGAGACGCATGGATGAACGTTTGATAGTAACGATTAACTTGTGGCAACAAGATAAAAAATATTTCTTTGGGGACTTTAGGGGCTGCCGCTGACAAATCCATATGTTGAAGAGGAAAAGAAAAACAAACTGTGGATGAGCAAAGAGTTGCTGGATACAATTATAACAATAGCATTTAACAGCTCAACGTTAAGCAGGGCTTCTGACGACTTGTAGTGGGGCCACAGCAACCAGTCTGCATATAAGAAGACGTACCTGGGCTCAGTGTTTGGGTCCAAAGTTGCAAAGAAACGTAGGAGGGGGTTTTGACAAGTAATGGCCTTAAATTTGTATCACGGCATTTTGTCTGGCCTATGTATTTTCATATTGTTTTTGCTCCAAGCGTTCCACATGACTTTTTCAAAGATCCCCTGGTTTTCGTGGAGAACCAAAAAACATTGGCGACATTTTCTCAGTTTTATTTTTATGAAAAAGTCAATATTTTGAGGTTAGTTTTCTTGCATAAACATGGCGTTTTGTGATTACAATTTTCTAGCAGAAATATGGTATATGTCTTATTTTCGATAATATTCACTCAGTGAAATTATGGTGATTTAAATGTTTTAAGATTATTAATTAAATTAACAGTAAAAGTAAGTTAATAGTTGGCCTCCATTTTTCCAAGTGGATTGGAAGTGAGTTTGCATGAAAAAAAGCCATTTCTTGGGAAAGCCTACAGATTTTTCAAAAATCGAATGGGGAAGAGGCTGCCTCGCAGTAATCAGACTTTTTACAATTGTTTATTCTTCTTCTTCCAGTGCTAGCCAAAGGAGGATTGTCATTTGCAGGCAACAGCCGAGCTGGCAAAAAGCATAAAGGGTAAAAACATAGATTTTTAGAAGAGAGAAATTGAATTACTTTCAAGTGAGTTTATTGTCAGGTACAGATCCAAGTTTCAAGACATAGTGTTGTAGCCCACTTTTACAATCCAATAAGCCAGATCAAAACCATCAATAATATACAAAGAAAACGACAGCAATGTAACCAATATCATTAAATCAGCATGGATACTTCCATACATACTAATCCTAATGAGCAATAACATATCTCTAGCTATGATAATAACCAGTATCTAACATGATGTTATAAAATTTGTAAGAGGTATCCCCTCTCCGTCTCTAGATGGTTGGAAGTTGTATAAATGACAAAAAACAGATTGTTTTTAAATATTAAAGGTTCAGTGTGGTTTTAGGTATTTTAGTTGCATCTTTAGCGATGGTAATTTGCTAGATTTGCAGCTCCCTCACTCAACCTGCCCTTCCAAGCGATGAAGGAGAGCAACTACAAGTGGGCTTACAAAAATGCCAGGCAAAAAAGAAAAATAAAATAGAATAAACCAGTCGTGTGAGCATCAAACAAATTGCCGTTCAGTACATGGCGAGTCCACGGAAGGTGGAAACTTGGGCTTCTGTGATTTCTAAAAGTATTTTGAGAAAACAGCGATTTTCTTTATTTTCAGGTTGATTTATATACACTAAGAAAAAGCTTACCGAAGTGAATGTTATAAATTCCATTTCTTGCAATTACGTTATTTTTTTCACTTTAAATGGGTTACACACTTGGACCTTTTAAGTTTTGGGGATTTGAAGCTTATTACTTTCATTATGAGTTCACAACACAATCAGTTTTTGGTTGCAAACAATATCCTCCTTCCTTGCTATCAAAATCTCTTCCAAATCACATCACCACAGCTGGCTCGTAGATAATGTTGTACAGGTTAAAGATGGGCATGGGAGGGTTTCGGGCCACCATTCTTCACCTCTACACACATTTTATAAATACCGTTTTAGTGAGGGGAAAATGGATGCATGTTAATGGTTTTTTTTTTTTTTTGTATGGTACACTTTTATTTCATCTGCCCAGAGGATTTTTAAAAAATTAGAATATAATTCTATGCATTTTAGGAGACTAAATATTCACAATCAGGTTGTTAAATGTGCTACACAAACTAGCCACCTGGCACACAAAACTAAAAGAAGTTTGCAAAGTTATTCTCCACTCATGAGCCCTTCATTTAGTAGAATAGTTAATTATTTTTATGTTTATCAGCGTTTCTTCCCTTTTCTTGTCATATTACACATTATTTGTTAATTAACGTTGTAACGAACATCTTGTGTTTATTCTTTCATTTTCTTTACGAACCCCCCCCCACCACAATGCAGTTTTCTCTCCCCTTTTTATCCATTATTTCCTCTTTTAGTATTAAGAAGTACATACAGGGGTATCGTTTCTGGCCCGGAAAAACGTGAAGAGCTGGGGGAAAAGCAGGCTTCTCAACAAACACGCCTATTTTTTTATTGGATGGGAAGACTGTGTTCAGAGAATAAATCAATACTCCCATCCATATGGAACCAAGTTGAATTGTCAAGCAGCCAATCCAAATCCTGTTGATTTTGGAAGGAGATTACTCTGTTGACACTCCTGGTTTCTTTGACTCAGTTCACTGAGAGAACTAAAGCGTGCATAGTGAGGTGATTTTTCTCAGAGTGCACTCCTGGTGCCTCATGCTTTTTCAATTGTGCTAACATGGAGGAAATTCTCTGAGCAGGAAGCAGGCTGTCATCAAAAAAATACACAAATACTTTTCTGAAGAAGTCTTCAATATGGCAGCAGTTGTACTTCAGCGGCCATCGGGCGAGCGAGCTGGCCCCAAGGGCAGAGCAATTGAGGATTTTTGTCCACATATAAGGTGTGGTGATGATCTGGTGATGAGGGTGCCGGTGGCCATTGGCACGTGGTTGATAATAAACACTGAAGACACCAACCACAGGATGAAATACAGGAGCCAAGCAAGTTCTCAGGAGGCTGCTCAAAAAGATAGTACTGGAAAACAAGGGAATATTGCTACACAATAGAATGCCTAACAAACCAAGTTGAAAAGAGAAAGCAAAGGAACAAACACAGCAATCCAGTCAGGGAAACCTTGCTACAAAGAATACACGCAGCAATAAGTGTTGTAGGGGACAATAACCTTAATATAAAGATATTAAACCACTGAAGATTTAATAATAACACTCGTAAATGGGGGCAGGCAACTCCGCGTTAATCTAGTTGCTGAATAATCCGGAGGAATAGCGATAAGATCTATCAAATCAATTAATAACTCGACTATTCAATATTCAATTCCATCATGGGTTCTAAAGTGTGAATTCTTTTCCAGCATTCCGTCGATTGTCGGCCGCACCATAATCAAGGAACCGCAGGCAGGAGCTCAGACCATATGGGTATAATTATAAATATTCCTATTGACTAAATAAGATGATGGAGTGTTAGGAATGAATGATAAGAAATGGAGTGATATTAAGCACAACAACCAAACAACCAGAATATGTGGACAAATAAGGTGAATTTTGATAGTGGATGATTTCAGAGCGATGATGATTTTGTAATGGTGGCCAAATTTAAAAATACAGCGGGAGTAATTAAAAATCCAAGACCACTAATAAAAGGACATCTAAGGCTAGACGATGCGACAGAGCTTATAGAAGAACGCAGCCCAACTCTTTTCCATGTGTGTAACGGCCAGCAGTGTGTGCAGTTTGTAGCCTAGCTGTTGTCGTAGATACTAAAGGAGGACTCTCAGGAGGTTTCCCGCTCGCGGGCAGGTACTCAAAGCTAAAGCGGTTAAGAATCCCCCAGGTCCCAAGACGTAATCACCACCCAGCTA